TGTAGGTGGTCAATCAGAATAAACCTCCATCTTCAAGTCGTCTTTTCATTACCCTACCACCTGTACCCACACTCCTTAGCACCACCACACTACCACCTGTACCCCTACCACTATCACCTCCACACAAGCACTACACACTACCACCACACCATCACCTCCACCAGCTTTTCCCCACACTATCTGCACCCACACCCACCCACCTCCACCAGCACTACCTTTCCCCTACTGTCCTGTGCCCACAATACCCATGCCTTAATAATAACATGACTAATCCTTTAAAACCATCAATAAAATTCTTGAAAATTTACATTTTTGTAACCATATATATATATATACATAATGGACTCACACACATATTTACAGAGACAACATATTGCAGAAGTGTCTCATCTATCTTGTGTCTCTGTTGGATATGAGGGGCTTGATTGTGTATATATACCTGTACTCACCTGATGGGAAGTGTATTTAAGAAGTGTTTGGATGTATTTATGGATGGATGGATGGATGGACACACACACACACACACACACACACACACACACACACACACACACCAGCAGTGGGCTTTCCTACCTTGGGGCATGTGCTTACCCCAGGTGTGTCTCCACAACCCAGGTTGCCATGGCTCACACATTCACTCTGGGTGCTGTACACGCTGAACTGAAGACTCTCGGCGCCATCCCTTTACTAGCATCCCTGGCCTTCGCCGCCAGACACACATATCTGCAGGGGGGCCAAAATTCTTGATGGTATTCAAGTGGGTGAAAAGAATCAATAAAGGTGATATAGATAAAGTTTACCCTGACATCGAGCAGGATGGGACTTTCCGAACAACAGTTAAAGTTGGATACCCAGGTTTGGAGAATAGGAGGAACGGAACTTGCAAATGAATTAACTTTAACAGTAAGTCTGGAACGCTTTGGAAAAGTTTTCAAAGGAAGCTGGATAGATTCATGGATGATAGAAATTGTTGATAACTCGACAGGAGCTGCCATGCAGGCAACAACCCTATTACGAACTCATATTTTCTTATGTTCTTATGTTTAAGGTGTTTGTATATATGTATGTTTTGTATGTTATGATCAACTCAACATTTAAGCTAATGGACTGATTCATTTGAGCGAAAAATGGTGCGAGTTCTGGATGTTGAATCATTGATTTGCGGATCGTGTTTTTGATGTGGTTGGCAATTGCAGTTGGTGAGTTGTTCGTTTTCTCTGGACTATTCCTTGTACTGGGTCATGTTTATTCCGTTAACTTGAGATGTATCAATGTTGGCGACTTCGTCAGGTGGCCTTAGACTATCAAACACCATTAATAACATATACGGTATGTATGTTTTGTACGATAATTTAATCAATCTTCATTTACGTTTGTTTTACGATGAATATGGGTACCATCACTGGAACATATCGAACTTGGAAAGATAAAACAACGGGATGAAATAGCTAAATACCTGGAAATAACCCGTGAATCAATAAAATAAATATATCTTATATCTTTAAGCATAAAAAACCACCACACAACGAATCTTGGTAATGAGGAGGAAGGGCCCAGGTGGTCTCACCTTTCCTGTAATAAAATCTGACTTGAGGTTTCGTGTAGGCCAAAATCACCATCTTGGTGTTTGAGTGTGTTGGGGTGTGTTGGTGGAGAAGGTGTGTTGGAGAGAAGTATAGAGGGGGGGGTGTGTTTGAGGAGTGTGGAGAGAGTGTTGATTAGGGTGTGGAGGTAGAGTGTGTTTGGGTGTGTTGGGGCGTGTTGGGGCGTGTTGGTGTGTGTTGGGATGTGTTGGGGTGTGTTGGGGTGTGTTGGGGTGTGTTGGGGCGTGTTGTGTGTGTTGGGATGTGTTGGGGTGTGGTTGGTGTGTGTTGGGGTGTGTTGGGGTGTGTTGTGGTGTGGTTGGGGTGTGTTGGGGTGTGGGGTGTGTTGGGGTGTGTTTGGGTGTGGTTGGGGTGTGTTGGGGTGTGTTGGTGTGTGTTGTGATGTGTTGGGGTGTGTTGGGGTGTGTTTGTGTGTGTGTTGGGGTGTGTTGGTGTG